TATATATATATATATATATATATATATATATATATATATATACATAATATGAATCAATAGGAAATTATTTACATAGCATTCGCAGTATTTCACGGAATATTAATTACCGCTCGGTGACTATCGCTTTTTATTAAAGTAAGAGAACAACTATTTATTTACTTAGCTCGTGTATTTTTCTAATAGCAATTCAAACAACAACAGCAACGCATGACCGATTATGCTAAACAGTATGTATAACATATGTAGCCGTAAATAATTATTGGTTAATGACGAATAAACAGGACAAAACTTTAACAGTTATGCGTACGGCTGCATTATTAATTGAACGCGTGACCGTCCATACTACACAAATAGAAATAAGTACCGAGCGTTTACGCATTGACTACTTACACAGTGTTTAGTAACATTACTAATCTAACAGTTGGAATGCACTTACATACGTAAAAAACTCACGTTCATTGTCATGTAAATGTAAGAAGTTAACAAGGCAGGAAAGTAGGCGTTCGCGACAAATCTGGATAAGTGGCAAAAGATAACCCAATATAGCCGCTGGCACTTTGGCCGTTTTAATTAATAAGAATCAATTAAAAATAAATTAAATTTTTTAAAGTAAATATAATAATCAATGTATATCTAGTTAACCTACACCGTCTGCTAATTTTCCCTGAAAGTTGACCAAATGCTACTATGTAACGGCAGCGCACACATACCGATGCAGCATGACCACAGTTTGTACCATAATTGGGTTTAAAAGGTCTTTGTTTTTATCATTTGTTTTTTTTACTTACTATAAATAATAATTAAAAATATTGGTTATTACATTAATTGACTTTTTAACCCTTTAACCTTATCTATGGTTTACACTATAAATAACAGTTAACATGGAAAGGTAAAATGATAAAAGTAAAGGAGAAAAAATATACTATAAATTGAATAGGTTTACATTTGTACCTTTCAACTTTTTTTACTTCAGCTATTATTCAGTTAGCGCAACGGACAAATATTTTATGGTAGTAAATTATCATGGTTTTCAGTTTGGGAACCCCGCAAATGTGTTTTCGCATTTGTGCTAAACTAATCCGGGGTCCCAAATTATCCTTGATCCCAAATCATTTTATATAGTGAAAGACTATAAGTAGAATGATGATGGCAAACAGAAACAGTACGAGCGCGATCATGCAGCCGGTTTTCCACCTGGTCCACAGCACAGGTTTCGCGGTCGTGGCCGGACTTCCGTTAATCCTCTGTAGAACCTTGACTGCCGCTTCCACGGTCGCCAGCGCCACATGTCCGTCGCGACATCTGCAGGCAACTTCTTCCCCGCGGCAGTGGCCGCTGCAAAAAGATAAAAAGCTATAGGTGCGCCCCGATATTCAATCTAGAGATAGTGACGAATATTGGAGGCGTACAATCTATGCTACTCTGAGCTTTATAACTCATATTATCACGTGATATATGAATAAGCTCGTGACGTAATGCTTTGAGTTTGATTAAATCAAGAGCATATAAAGAAAGCTTTATTATTTCTTTATATGCTCTTGATTAAATTGTGGGCAACTCATTATTTCCGTAATAATTTGTTAGGAAATATACAAATCATGAACCATTTTACAAAGTATATGAGCTCTAAATTGTTCTCATGAATTCAAATCGTCCATAGACAATAATTTACCACTGTAACGACAAGCATTGACGTTATTGAAAAGGGAAAATGGTTTTGCCACACCGATGTTAGTTGCCCGTGGCAGAGAGGCAGGTAGTTATCCAAATATTCCCAATCGTCAAGGAATAGTGTGTGAAACAATTCTTTATGTGTTCGGCGTTATAAAACACACAAAGTTGGGGTTAGGGTTAGGCGGTTTCCTATATACTATATCCCGTGATATCTGCTCTGGACCCTCAACCTGCCTTGTCTAGCTAACTGGTATTACAAAACCAGTATTACAAAATCAAGCGCTTCACAACTTTAAACTTTGAAATTTGATATCGATGAAACATCTCGTTAAAATATCCATAAGTGTTTGGTTTTTAGGCATTGTCTGCTATAAAGAGACCTAGCTATAGCTGTGTGAATGAGATTTTAACACATTAGATATGCATATAATAATTATTATATATATGTATACTAGCGGGATACCCGGCGTTACCGGGGGAAATCAGTTGGTCACATCAAATGGTTGAAAAGAAAATACCACAAAAAATCTAACTATCTATCTATCCATGCATCCATCCATCTATCGCATTCCATGCCATCCTATCCCATCCCATTACACCGCATCCCATGCCATGCCATGCCATGCCATCCCATCTCATCCCATCCCATGCCATCGCATGCCATCCCATCCCATCCCATCCCATCCCATCCCATCCAATCCCATCCCAAACAATAAAAAATAATAAGAAATCAAACGATAAAAGACATTAAAATAAAAAAGTAAAAAATAATAAATAATAAAATAAAATTATATAAGAAATATAATTATATTTGATCTACATAGGCTTCCATGAAGTGTTCCCGTCAGTTTGCGCTATTATTATCATGTACCATAGTTTATTCTGGATTTTACTAAACGTTTAAATGTAGTAAAAAAATTTAAATTTTGAAATTAACGGTGAAGTGGCAGAAGTACATACTAAACAGTCCAAAAGTAAAGAAACAGAATTTCACGAGGTGGGATTCGAACCCAGAATCAATGGTTTTGGAGTCCGAAGCACGGACACTGGGCCATTCGCAGTATGATTACATAATATGATTAACACGTTGGAGATGGACAACAGATATCCCTCGTTCTATTTATAGATTGTGTACATATTTTCAAGGTTTCCCTCGCAAAATCACATTTTCGGAGGTTACATTTTCTTCCAAAGTTGAGAGGCAGGATACGGAATCATTGTCGACACGTGGTGTACGTTTCACGCCCAGCCATGCACCCCCTCCGGAGTTTTTAGCCGAAATGTCTTACTTTAATAGTATAGATATATAATAATAATGTAGTAGATGATAACATTTACTTCTGATTTATATCTTACCACGAATTGATCTCTACATGTGTCTTTTCTTTGTCGTCTGTACCAATCGGGTCACCGCCGTGACATGGGCTCCAGGAAATACGGATTTCCCTGCCACTCAAGTTCGCATCACTCGTCGTTTCCGGGTCGATCTTTGACTGGAAAGTTTTGCCGTTCAATCAAATTAAACACTAGTCGTTCTAAGACTAAGAAGACTTACACGAGTGCCGAATGCTGACCCATATTCGAGACAACACGTGTAGTGACAACAGATAGTAGGCGTGTACTTTTGGTTCTGACCTAGATAAAGAAATCCGCATAGACGAACGCGTTATATCGTGACTGAGTCTGTCTGAAATAGCTTTTATGCTTACTGTACCTGTAGATGCATTCAGACAATAGCGTATTAAGAAGGGCCTTCTTTATACGCTCTTGATTTAGATATTTAGACACTATACGCATGAAATTCAAGAGTAGGTTCTCCAGAGTGTTCTATTAAAGTGCACGTTTTGACAGATAACCCATTGGGAGCAATGCAAAAGGTTTCGTATACTAGATGTCAAAAAAATGTAGTAGTGGAATCAAACATGAGCGCACGCACGTACACCAACGATCGTGAATTATTAATCTCCTATACCAACATTCATATTGATTGCTTACGGTCTTTCTTACGTGATTCGTCTATATGGTAGTGATACAAAAAAACATAATCAATTTCATTGACCTAAACCACGGTCATCGAACTTTCATTTCCGGGTGTAGGCCTACTGCTGGTTGGGCCCTCCATCTCATGCACCCTAAACCACGGTCATCGAACTTTCATTTCCGGGTGTACTGCTGGCTGGGCCCTCCATCTCATGCACACACTCATGGTACATACCTGCTGGTAACCTACATACCAGGTTACCGCGTATCTGCATATGTTCTCCCCCATAGTAACTCGGCTAATGTTTTACATATAGTACCATTGCTATAGTATCCCACCTATTCAGTGTTCAGCTTCTCACCTGCCAAGTGTATATTGCTATACAGTACTACAAACAAATACAAATTGCGCATATGTATATATATCAAGAGTGCATAATAGAGTTAATACCGCGCGCGCGCAACATACACACACCCAACCCCGGACACCGACACACACAACCACACAACACATTTCACACACACACACACACACACAAACACAACACAGCCACACCATCACACACCACACACAACGCACAACCAACGTAATCTCCACATCGTGTACGTATTACATTGATCGTATCTTCATCGTACCTGTATACATTAACGTAACGTATACAATATGTATGTATATCAGAGTACATGAATAGAGGATGTACTCTTGATGTAGCTTTGATGGTAGTTTCTATTAATGTAGCGTTGTGGTCTGGCGTCCTGTGCATACCGTAGCTGTGTATATCATACATAACTGTGGCAATTCGTACCTGTATACATAAGGGGGGTAAAACTTACATTATGTACGGTGTGATCGTCGACGTACTGGTGCAGGACGTACTGTATACATGTAGTAACTGTGGCAATATCGTGATACAATACGTACCTGTATACATGACGTAACTGTGCAATACGTACCTGTATACATGACGTAACTATACAATACGTACCTGTGCACGTCACGTAACAGTACAATACGTACGTACCTGTATACATCACGTACCTGTCAATACGTACCTGTATACATGGCGTAACTATACAATACGT